CAGAGATACCTTATATGTGTTGTACAATCATTGGTCATGTACACATAAACATACTGCATGATTGTTTGTTCATATGTTTAAGACAGGTCTTTTTTAAAATCTTTTATTTTATTATTCTTAAAACATTTGTTTGCTTAGTTTTATTACTATCATAAGGGAGTTAATAGGCTCCCTCATGATAGTAATCTTGCTGAAGGTTGGTGATGTCAATATAAGGGTGAGAACCCAATGTAATAAGCAGACCTTACTTTTTATTGCAAGCTCCACTTTGGGATGCTGATGCAATGCGGATATATTGCCCATAGAAATCATGTATCAACTTTCAAAGTAAATAATGAAGGTCTGCTGTAGGTAATAGTCCTGTAGCTTTCCATGTTGCAATCGTCATTGATATGCTCTACTGTTTCTTTCTATAGGGACCCTTTATTGAGAGTGTAATCCTCATCAAGTACAGGAATAACACTTTATATCCGTTTTGCAGCTTAATCATGGCTCATTCTTCAGGTTGGATACCCCTGGTAGATCTGCCATTGTTAGGACCTGTCTTGAATTAAAAGATAAAATTCTGCTGATAGACACTATTACACAGCTTGCAATGAGCACACCTACAGAGGCAGCAGCCGTCATATAGATGCAGTTATTTTTTTTTTCATAGGGGAAGTAAATAGAGTATATATCACCTGGAGAAAAATAATTAAGCTTGCCCTTTTTAAAAACCCATACAGTAAATTGCTGAAAATTCATATTGCCCAGAAACCACATGTTGCATAAAGTGGCTATTCAATGAGATGTTATTTTGTGAAATAAATATAATAGCACAGAGCAATGGGAGAACACAATATTGTTTCATCTTTATTTCAATTACAGAGCACAGCATGCCTCTTTGTCTATCTGTAGCATTAAATAATGAGGAGTTCTCCTCTGTACCTGCCTGCAGCCCAGAGCCTTATTTCTCGATTAGTGGTAATCTGGTATATCATCTAGAAGCAATTACTGCACCTAGCACACTTGTTACTCTATGGCCTTTTATTTTCTGTTTAAAAATAAGTGTAAAACGTTTGTAATTGATATTCATGATAGCAACATTTTTAATTTATAAAACAGGTAATTATCTTTAACTGTTACAGGTCTGTGTTTATTCAGACAAATAAAACATATTTTGCTTAAAAAAAAATGGAACACACATATTCAGGTTGTCTTGTGAGGTCCTTGGTCCTTTGGTGTCCTTGAGTCTCAGGCTATGCTTGTTGTTACTTAGTCCTCTATGTGTCCTGAAAATGCCTAAAGAGAGAAACTGGAATTGCTCTTTTTAGATCAGGCACTAGTCCTTCTATTAATGCTCCATCACTACTCTAACATGCTGGGCAATTCAGGATGCCACCCTTCTACACGGAGGAAAATTAGGAGAAGTTGCCGCATCATTAGTGAGCTGAGGCGATATACAATTATAGTATATGAAAAAAGGCAAAGTGTTTTTTTTTATTGTATTGAGTAGGGAATAGTTGTCTTTTTTTGCCACTTGTTTCCCATTTGGGGAACTTCACTTCACTTCCTGTCCTGTAGAGATGAAAGAAAGTGAAAGGGAATGTATTCAAAGAGTGGGTAATGCCCATTTAGAAAGTTGTCATCGCTTCACCCCCTGTCCCGTAAAGAGGAAAGGATGTGAAAGGAAATCTCTCCAAAGAGTGGCAAATGCCCTTTTTAGAAAGCTGTCACCAGAACAGGTGTTCCTGTTGACAATTGATATTTTGGATTTTCCAACGTCTCGCCATGCTATCCAAAAAAAAAAATGTTTTGACTTTAGATATACTTTTAGGTACAGCATATTATTTCAGATAATGTGAGAAATTCTTTTTTTTCTTGATACTTTAGTTTTCAGGTTCAGAGTAGATTGGCACTGGTAGTCTTCAACGCTGAGAGTAATGTCCTCCCATAAAATGCCTCATATTATTCACTAACACTAACCCTAACCTACTAGGGTTTATTAAACTAGAATACATATTTATCCTTCTGGTGTATTTGCTTTCTGCAAAATTGTGCCTTAAGTTTCAGTTACTTTTTAGCAGACGTCACCTCTATTACCTAGCATTGGTCTCATATCTTGCCCTTTCATTGGCATCTTTCCACAACCAATCAGGAAATATTTGGATCACCATATAAAACAACATCACACACAATCACATCGCAGTAAGCTTTGACAACAGTGGATCTCCGAAGGCCTTGCCCCACCATTTTACATTTATTTAGCAGGGTAGTATATCTGTTCGTCTATTACGGGTTCTTTTCATATTTCCATGCACTGTCTCAAAGCTTGGAATCAATTAATTTTTTATTTCCTACATAAATATCCCATATCATAATATTATTTATACATTTAAAAAATACTTTGTACCGGAAACACGATTCTAGTGCCTTTGTGAATGGGTTCTGTTACAGAATGTATGTATGTTATTAATGTATGTTAATTGACCCTAGTTATGGCACAGCAGGAACATGAAATAACAATAATATTATACATTTAAAAAATACTTTGTACCGAATCACGATGTGTTGTGCCTTTGTGAATGTGTTGTTTGTTACAGGTATGTTATGTTCATTAATGTATGTTAATTGACCCTAGTAAAGGGCAAAAAATTTATAAACCTACTACAGGACAATTTTCTAGTACATACACATAAAAGTGTAGTGCTAAAAAACGTATCAGTAATAATGCAATCCCGCTATAAACTTGTAAAACTTAGTGTGATGATATTTGAATACAATATCTATATCATAAAGATATATAAAAATGATATACAATATAATATAATAGAAGTGAGTCCCAATTCCAAAAGATATGTATGTCAAAAAGTGCAAACGTGAATCTTCAATTGCTAGATTACCAAACGATATCCATGGAAACACGTGCCACCCCATCCGACCACTGTGCTCAGAAAAGTCTTACCAGATGTATTAGACCATCATGTTATAGAATGGTCAAAATCAGCTCAAGAAAGATAATTGTGCAGCCAATCCAGCCTCCTCTCCATACCATCCAAAATGTGGCTCAAATATCATTCGTCCCACTCCGTAATGACCATCAATGTATGCGTATTAGACTTCAACCATATGTGGCTCAAATATCATTCGTGTAATGACCATCAATGTATTTGTTAGGCATTAAAAGTGTGTAGCATTTTGAAATGAAATGAAAAAAAGCTTCCCACCGTGTAAATCATCTAAAACAATGTATTAAGCCAAAGAAGTGCAATTATAATGGCAAAATCAATACAGCGCGGTATATCTAAGACCACCCACATGTTCCCACTTCAAGATGACCACGAGCATACGTGTATGCGTGGTGACGTACGCCCCCAGCTCCACCCAATGCTCTTTGTCAGAAATTATGTCATCAGGGTTCAAAGGCATACATCCGCCACCACACACTTAAATAGGAAAATTGCAGAGAGAGAAGACTGGCATTGATTGGTAACACTCATTCAATCATCACTAGTTGCCATGAGACAACTTAAACAACATTGCCAACTAATAAATACTAGACAGCACTAATAGGTTTATCAAAGGTACTGCATAAATTATGACTATTTTCTAGAAAAAAAATTAGGGATAAATAGAGCACTAAAATTATCATATGAGGAAATATATTTCCCTATACAAAAACTATGTGAACCGGTCATCTCTACACTAGATCCTGGTAATAAAATTTAATTGAATTACTATCAATTGTTTTAACATATGTATAAAAAGGCACACAATAAAATACACAAAATTAATAAAATATATATGTTAGAAAATCAATTGTTGTTAATAAAACAATTGATATCCCAATCAATATTTAAGCCATACAGTGCAAATGTCTTGAGGTCATAAATCCTCTTGACCTCAGAGGGTGATATTTCCCAGTTGGCATTGCCACCCCTCCAATGTGAAATGTATTTATCTATAGCAGTAAAAGCAGTTCCCTCAGGATTTTTATTGAGGAAAAGTGCATATTGTTGTGGTACACTATGCCACTTGAATTCCTTCTTAATGTTAACAATATGTTCATTAAGACGATTGTGTAGTTCCCTAGTGGCACACCCCTATGTATTGCTGCCCACAAGGACAAGTAACATGTACACTACATTCTTTGTATGGCAAGTGATAAAGGAATGAATGTCATACACCCTCAAAGATTGGGCTGAATAGAAATTCTACAATTTTCTCTATTTTTCACACATTGATTTTACACTTATTGCACTTCCTACAAGGAAAAAAAAACCTTTGTAATCATGAAAAAAGACCGGACGAATAGGAGGGTCATAAATGTTTGGGGCCACCTTATTTCTTAATGATGGAACCCCCCTAAAAGTATCTCCTGGCTTGTCAGGCAAAATGGAACCCAGTAGTCAGTCATTTTTCAATATAGGCCAATGTGTTTTAATAATTTGTTTAACCTTATAATGCTGTGAAAAAAAAGAAGTGATAAGTCAGAGACCCAGGGTCCACAGGTAATCTAGGTCTCTCCACTAATAAAGAATTTCTGTCCCTCAAAGTAACTTCAGATATAATTTTTATAACCCTTTTCCACAAATCTCAATTTGAGAAATGTGGCCTGATCTAAAAAAAATCTTGGTTTCGTAAGCAATTCTGCTTCAAACATAATTGACTCTTGGGCACAGATGCTAACCACAAAGGATGATTGGAGTTTGGGCGTATGTCTTCACACATATGTATATGCTCATGGCCATCTTGGAAGTGGGAACATGTTAGGCCCCATGTACACGGGACACTTCTGAACGATGGAAACTGACTGCTGGAAAACATAGGTTAAAAAACATCTGTTTAGCTACATTTGCATAACGCGTTTATGGGCTTTTGCGTTTAGAAGCGATTTGTAAAGATATGCACAGGAGAACTTCCCAAATGCCCAGAATGCACTGAAAAGTGGTAAATTATTAACTATTTCAGACTGTTTCAGAGAAATACAGAGAGTAGAAGCAGAGACAGCAGTATGTGTTGAGATAATTAGGTGCGAGTTGCTCATTAACATTTCTTTTGTTTCCAAGGGTGGGACATGTGTCTGGTGGAGTGAGTCATTAAGGTCACCTGGCAGAGGGTCTTCATGAGGAATTTGAGGTGTGAATGGTGTGAATGCTTCCACAGGTGGGAGAGGTCTGAGGTGTGAATTGGTCATTGCAGTGTGTGACCAGCTTGGTAGGAACATCCTGTGTACAGTGTTTTGTCCATCTGAGTACCTTGAAAACGCGTTGCATGCATTTTTCATGATGAAAAAGGGCTCTGGACGTGCATTTACAAGCATTTTGCGTTTGAAACGCTGATAAAATCAACTGATGAACGTAAGTTTTCTGCGTTCAAAAAAACGACTGTAAACTCAAATATCTGTAAACAACTGTAAATGAAGATGTGTACATGGACACATAGGAAAACATTAGGGAGAGTTCAGGGGCTGCTGAAAAAAAAATGCTGAACAGCTCCTATACGTGAGTTTATCAGCCTCAGTGTACATGAGCCATAAGAGCTGTGAAAATGTGGAATAGACTCCCTCAAGAGTTGGTTCTGGCCAGGTCAGTGGATTGCTGTAAAAGGGTCTGGATTCTTTCCAAGAGACACATAATATCACTGGATACTAACATTAATAGGTAAAGTTGATCCAGGGAATATCATATTGCCTCTTGGATCAGGAATTCATTTTTTCTCTTGCAGGAGCAAATTGGATCATGCTTTGCTGGGCTTTTTTTGCCTACCTCTAGATCATGGGTGTCAAACTGGTGGCCCTCCAGTTGTTGCAAAACTACAAATCCCATGAGGCATTACAAGATTGACAGTTACAAGCATGACTTCCAAAGACAGAGGCATGATGGGACTTGTAGTTTTGCAACAGCTGGAGGGCTGCCAGTTTGACAACCCTGCTCTAGATCAACTGTGGGTATAGGATTATAACTTTTTTTTATGGTTGAACTGGATGGACTTTTGTCTTTTTTTCAGCCAGACTATGTAACTATGCAAGAATAACATTTGTAGTTAGCTCTTAATAGCTTTTTTAACCTAAAATTTATAGGTAAAATTTTAGTTATCACTATTTATTTTAATACCTACTTCATTCTATTTTCTTTTTTACCATTTGTATAAATATGTTTAACATTCTTGTTAGTTTTTGTAATGGCAAATTAAAGTGTTGGGGGGGGGGAATTCAACTCATTTGCAGTAGAATTCCTGAATATTTCAATGATATGTATTTAAAACCTATTTTTTCTTCTGCCTGTGTTTCCAGATGAACTTTATTCTCCATCCCACTGGATATCCCATCTTCTGATGAATAAAATAATATTCTGAACCCTTTGAATGTTGCAAATTTACTCATTTTAATGGTAAATAATTTATCGTATTCGTGATTTGCCATTGATTGTAGTTGATTGGCCAGCAAAACATAGTCAAGCCTAAGCAGACCAAATATGTTTAAATTCACTTGCTCATCTACTAGTTTTGTTTCTTATTTATTGAGACATGATAAAATGAGACAGTATGCAAGTTTGGAAATTAAGAAAAAAATGTAATTGTCTTTCATCGTTAGGAGGAAAAAATATCAGCAATTACTGCAATGAAATTAGGGACCAAAACACAAGCATTGCTTAATCTTGGTTTCTAAAATCACTTGTCTAAAAGAGCATCAGATTCCTCAAGTGTTTGGGATAGCAATTAAAGGTAACCCTTTGGCCATTTTGAATGTTTAAAAGACCTTCCAAAGAGATGCTTGTGTTGAGCTTTGTTTGCTTCAGACCTCTCTCTAATGAGATCCTAAAACTAGTTTTACTTTCATATTAGGGGCTTGACTTTCTTGGCTTTTCCTGGCTAATACAAATGCCCTTTCATTGGACATGATGTTGGCAGTTGTTCAGATTTAGTCCAAAAGTCAAGTAAGTAAAGTGCCTAGTAGCAAAGTAAAACAGTCATCCTTTATTACTAACCCTGAGATGTTTATCAGTTTTTTTTAATCCAGACAGTACTACGCTGCATAAGTCTCTTTCTTTAGTGTTTATAATCTGGTGATCCTGGGACATACTTGCTGGTGATGCTGGAACATCCTCCTTGCTGTTTCTCTCACAGAAAGGTAGATGTAAGAGACATTCCTCTGGCACTCACCTCCGGAATGAAAGCAGTCGAACATCCCCTGAGACATGGCCAGGAAAGGCCAGTGTCATCCTTCTGTGGGAACGAGAGTCAGCCTCTACCTACACTCTCCAGCGGTCCACAGCTACTCTCAGATCCCATGGCAGAGCTCAGGTAGTGTCTCACCTGGTTCCCATCCTCTGTCACCTGCCATGTGTGTTCCTTCTTCTGAGGGGGATATGGCGCCCCTGAAAAATGCAGCCCAAGGCAAATACCTTGTTTGCCTTGCAGTAAATAAGCTCCTGAAGCTGGCCAAAGATGGATTGAACTTCAGATGGTTCAGCAGGGACCAGCCAAGACTTGATCCATCTATTGGCAGGCTGGTTGATGGGGGATGGGTGACCAGTGGTGGAAGAAAATAAAATTGTATAATCTATGGCTTGCCTTAATTTCTAAATTTAGTGCATAGTATTAGCAACTCACTGAATGATCAAGACTAACCATTTCCCTACCGTGCTATAGCCGAAAGCTGGCTTGAGAGCGGCTCTCCAGTTCAAGGAAGACATCCATGCCCCATGGGGCATGCATTAAGCTTGCTCTGTGACCACTGTTACAACGACCCTTTACCATGTGATCAATTGTGTCCAATCACAGCTGGTCACATGTAAACAGACCTGCTGGCTATTATTATTCCTTGTCTCGCAATCTGTCTCTTTATGAGGAAAGAAGAGCTGCTAACTGGCAAGTCTGACAGGGCACAGTGAGTACATGGTTTACACTGATAATCAGGGCATTGATCATCAGTGCCCTGATTATTATTGTAGCTTCATCCATGCCCATCAGTGTAGCTTATCAGTGCCCATCAGTGCCTCCTCATCAGTGAAGCCTCATCATTGCCTCCTTATCAGTGCCCATCAGTGCCACCTCATCAGTGAAGCCTCATCATTGCCTCCTTATCAGTGCCCATCAGTGCCACCTCATCAGTGTCCATCAATGCTGCCTCATCAGTGTAGCCTCATCAGTGCCCAGCAGTGCAGCCTCATCAGCGCACAAGAAAAATTACTTATCTGCAAAATTTTATAATAGAAAATAAGAGAAAAATTTTTGTTTTACAAAATTTTATATTTTTTTTGCTTAGCAAAAAAAAAAAGGTAAAGATGAAATACCACCAAAGGAAAGCTATATCTGTCTAAAACATGATAAAAATTTCATTTGGGTACAGTGATGCATGACTGAGAAATTGTCATTCAAAGTTTGACAGTACTGAAAGCTAAAAATTGGCTTGGGCAGGAAGGGGGTGAAAGTGCCCAGTATTGAAGTGATTAACCCAAATGTAGGGAGACAGGCAAAGGATGGTTTTCTGGCTACCAATAATTAGCAGGCATCTTTTACTGTCACTACTTTTAGGCAGGATTTCAACTTTTAAAAGTTTAAAATGGCTGCAACATACCTCCCATCTATCTAATTTCTGCAGGATTTTACGTCATGTGGAATGCTTGTTCCAGCACTCATTCTTGTCATCTGACCTTCTCGAGTTCAAGAAAGTGGGGAAAACCTATCCCCACTTCCTGTTTTTGGTCATGTGATGATAGAGCCAAAAAGGTCTAGAATAGATTTTTCTATTTGCTATGCTAATCTGAGGTCTGAAGAGGTTGTGGAGGGTGGATTGGAGCTGATCTGAGGTCTAAAGGGGTTTTGAGGGTGGACGGGGCTGATTTGAGGTCTAAAGAGGGGGCTAATTTTGCAGCCTGCATTTGTCAGCAGTCAGCAATATTTAGCTTCTCTTGCAGTTTTCAGTAAGTTCCCAATAACTTCTAAAATCTCCTACAATTCCACCAAAAAAACCTGTCCCTGTGCAACTTCTTTATTTCTTGGTTTATATGCTCAGCTTTACCGTAGCATCAGTGTGTGCATTGTCTGGGGAAACGGTATGCTATCATTGTTTTATTTATTTCAGGATGAATACTCATGATCTTCACAAGAACTATTGCATATATTCTCCACACTTTACTGTCTGTTCTATTTATACGAGAAACAAGCTGGTGTTTTGTCTTCAGTACAGTTCAAATCAAAAGATTGTTCAGCATGCTGGGAGATTTACCTAACAGACCTCATGTCTCTGTTTTGGGTCACACCAGCTTTATATGGTTTGCATTAACAATAGCCAGATCACTGATATTGAATTTTAGGTAGCATTTGGCCAACTTAAAGGGGGCGATTTACTAAAAACTGGAGAGTGCAAAATCTGGTGCAGTTGTCCACGGAAACCAATCACCTTCCAGGCTATATTGTCAAAGCTTAACTGAACAAGTTGAAGTTAGAAGCTGATTGGCTACTATGTACAGCTGCATCAAATTCTGAATGCACCAGTTTTAGTAAATCAATCCCAAAGTGTGGGTACTGAAAGCCTTTACAATAGCGGTTCTCAACCTGTGGAATCACAGGACCCACACTTGTCCTTGGTCATTAAGTCACCCCCCCCCCAAAAAAAAAATACATTTCCGAAAAATTATCATTTGTTCCACAAAATAACTCGTGCAGTATTCTACAGTGTATGTGCCCTGTTTAAACAGTAAACCTTATCTTAGCCAGGTCTTAGGACACCCAGAAAAAATAGTGTCTGGAAAGGTGACCAGAATTGGAGAACAGAAAAGAAGTTCCAGGGACTCCATTCAGGAACACAGCAGTCCTGTCACTCCATGGCACTGCCCTTGTTATGAGTGAGAGGCACAGAGGTGACATTATCACCACCACACACACTGAACCAGTACACACATGCTGAAGCATTGTTGTCACAATAGAAGGAGGACTCACCCTGGCCGACTTCCTCAGCAGCCAGGCTCTGTTTCACGGGGTCCGCTCCGGCTGGAAGCTGTCCCCAAAGCGCCCTTTGTATGCGTGTCACCTCTCCTGTACACCTCCAGTCCACACCCCTCCCGTGTCGAGTTCTTCATTCAGGACTCAACAATTCCTCCATGGAGCTTCTCACTTTAAATGCGTTGCCAGGCAACCAACAGTTAACCGGCGACCCAAGAATGGAGGGTGGAGAGGAAGAGGAAGTTACGTGCGTGCTAAGAGGAAAGGGCGGGCCCTGTAGGCTGAGCAGTTCCTAAGACCATCGGAAATATGTGTTTTCCGATGGTCTTAGGCGACCCCTGTGAAAGAGTCGTTCAACCCCCAAAGGGGTCGCGACCCATAGGTTGAGAACCGCTGCTTTACAATGAGATGACCAATGAAGCTGGGCATTTTTATCTCACCAACAACAGAACCAGGGGCAGACTGACCA